CAGCCCCCCTGCAGGGAGCTGAAGGCTGCTATTCAACCCCCCCCAGCCTTCCCTTCTGCAGACTCAAATCAGCTCATTTCCCTCAGCCTCTCCTCACCAGTCATGTTCCCCAGCCCCACAAACATTTTTGTTGGCCTCCGCTGGACTCTCCCCAAAGTATCCACAACCTTTCTGTAGTGGGGGCCACAACTGGACACGGGACTCCAGATGTGGCCTCCCCAGTGCTGAATAGAGGGGAAGAATCACTGCCTTCAATCTGCTGGCACTGCTCCTACCAACGCAGCCCAGGATGCCAGTAGCCAATAAGGGCACACTGCTGGCTCATATCCATCTTATTATCTACTGTCACCCCCAGGTCCTTTTCTGCAGAGCTGCTGCCCCCTCCTTTGTGAACCCCACCTTCCCCCCTCCTCTTTAGACCTGGCTACCGTTCAGCAAGGAAAGCACTTGCTGGGCAGAGAGAGAAAGCAAGCGGGACCTGACTTCTTAGCGTAGGGGTTATAGGACATTCAGCAGGGAGAAAGGGGATTTGGATCCCAACTCTTTGCTCCTTGACCGATTTATGCATTCTACAGAAGACAACCACAGAAATAATCCCAGATCATCTACTGGATAATCCAAGATAATCTGCCACATCAGGCCCCTCCAGGGACTGAGGTGGAGTTCTGGATCACAAGACAGCTTAGGTGAGAGCTCGGGCCAGGGTGTTTCTGTGAACACACACAAGTTCAAAATCAGGCACCTGCTTGGTTCTGTAGCTATTAGAATTGCAGTTTTCGAAGACCTTTTTTGGTGACACTGAGGGACCTAATCATTTTCGATGGCCAAGGTGTTTTTTTGGATCTGACCATGGAACCGGAGTTTCGGAAGCAGCACTGACAGTCTGTTAGACAATCAGCTGTATTACCTGGCTCCTACATTTCCGTGGCTCAGAAGCACACAGCTGAATCCTACCTAGATCCACTCGCTAGCACCTTCAGTTAATTGCCAAAAAAGCTGCAGTTCAAGAGTCACACGCACTCATTAATTTCAAGCCCACGGAGTGTACGACAAATCACCTTGGTTTCTTGGTTTGAAGAGATCCAGCTTATTAAACATGCAGGAAATGCGTGCTGCGCAGCACTTTGAGCTGCTTAGCTCATACAGAAGCAAACAAGCAAGTAAGAAAAAGGAACAACAGGGCCAACCTCCAAAAGATGGTTTTAATCTCGGAGCAGTGAAGATGTCCATAACTAACACTTAGGGTGTTTCCCGGGATGGGGGGGAAGACATGACAAGTGCACGGACACAACAGGCCGCTGAATGAAATGCGCTCTTTGCAGGAGGGTCAGCAGGACGGACAAGTATCTGAGATGCCCCAGTTGAGTGAAGTGGTGCTTGGGGCAAATTTTACTCTGTGCAGATCAGCAAAACGGATATACGCATTTCCTCAGCCTCCCATACTTCACTGGGGAATGGACGGACAGACAACATACGGACACACGACAGCCTGAATATCCTGGCATGAAAGTGTTCCTCAAAACTATCCCTCGTTTCACATTGCTTTCTACTGCTCACCTCCAAGCCTGTGCTCTCTGCTCTTTCATCTCACCCCATGTCATTCTCAACGGAAAAGACATTACAGCTTTTAAGATCCATTTGCAATACAACATAACATACATTATCTCTCTCTTCACTCTCCTTTCTCTGCCCCCTCCTGACTTTAATCTTCATTTTGTCTGTCTCCTGTTGGTTGCGATGCCAGGGGAGGCTGTGCCTCTTTCTGTCTCCAAAGAGCCCTGCAAAGTTATGGTGCTATATACTGAATAATAAATAACAACATGAGCAGCAAAATCCATTCCTATGAGCTGCCAGTGGGTAACCATTAATTATAACAACAATCTGAGAAACCACCAAAAGATATTAGTAATGCCTCAGGATACACCATGAGAAAGCCAGTGCCCTATGGTGACACGATAAATCTGTGTTTAAGTCTGAGTCACTGAGGCATGATTCCCCGCTCGTTTACACCAGAGGAAATCAGAAGCAGCTAGCTCTAATAAAGTGAACAAGGGTTGCATGAGCATGAAACAGGTGTCAATGAGGAAACTCAGGCACAGTGTTTCTACTGAAGACCTAAATCTGGGGCGAGACACCTTTGCCGTTTGAAACCGCGGTAGACGGACACACCAGGTCTCTAACTAGACCACACTGATCTTTAAAGTGAAATACCAGGCTCCAATATTCAAAAATACAAAGCTATCTATATTAGAGTAGAGAGATCTCTTCTCTCTACGGGACGCAAGTCACCTTCTTGCAGTCCATTTTGCAGATATGGGGCTTTTATTCTTCATTTAGGTTCCAAGGAGAGCAGAATCAAACCTATTTTTTCTAGCTCCATGCCTTAACTGCAAATAGTTTCTTGGTTCATATTTTTATAAATCCTTCTACAGTTCTTTGTCACCCTCCCTTGCTTGGACTAACAAATAATTCTCTGCCAACTTGATGATTTATCTTCCATGCTATTATTACTAATATATTATACATACACACACACACACTGGTTAATCTCCCTGTGGTCCCAGGGCACCTGTTTCCAGGAATAAGAAGAAAAATTAGCATGAAATCTGTTCTCTGAAGTACTCAACATGTAACCCGATGCACTGTACGCACAGGAGATGCTTTATAAGGACCACCGTTTAGGAATGTTTAATAGCTATTTAAAATGCCAAGAACGTCTATGTTCCACGATCAGGCATCGACTTTGTTAGCTGTCCAGGAATAAGTTGATCCTTTCATATGTACACAGACTGGCTTGATATGGTAATGCATTACCTTACTGCAAGTATGGGAAGATCCCTTCTCCATGGGAAGAACACGAGGACCAGAACATACAAAGCCACTGCAAAATCCAAAGTCTGCTTGGAAGAACTGTAATTTCTTCTATGAGGGAAATGACAGTAATGTTGGCTGAACTCTTCTTGCAGTCACTGTAAAATTGTGACAACTCGTGCAGGATGCATAAATTATAACGGTCTCGGGGCAAAGATTTGCAAGGGCTCTCTGTAGTTCTAGAGAAGCCACACAAGCCAAAGAAGTGCTAGCCCCACTGAGCAAAACCGAACAAAAACTTATTCAGCGAAAAGCAAGGCAGGCCATATATTTCTTGTGATAAATAGGGCCACAAGAATTAGGATGAGATTCTGAGTCTGAAATTCATACCAGGATTGTGCCATGTGCCAAAGACATCCTTGCTTAAATGCCAACTTGAACTTACAAATTGGTGTTTCTGTAGCATTGTATCCGAGGACCTAAGAGTGGCTTTGAGAGAGAGGTGCAGCAAAGAAACACAAAATGGATCCAAACAAGGGACTCGAGGACTGAGACAGTATTTTGCTTCTACAACTCCTTTGTAAGCACCAGTCATTTCAGTAGAAGAGGTCAGAATTCAAAGGCAAAGGCTGTCTCCTAGCTCGAGTGCTGTCACGTGGAATAGTTTCTAGTCTTGCTACAACTCCACTGCAGCGCTCTGAAAATACTGTGGTATTCACGTAATATTTTCCTCTTCTACTTGAGGGTTCAGGGATCAGCAGGGACGTGCCTGTTTCTCTCATCTTGGTGCACGTTCAACCCAGTTACAACTTCACTGGAGTCAGTAATGATCAGCTTGGCCTATTACATATATTTCAACGCTGCGCGTGACACATCCAGATGAACACAGACCCAAGCGCAGCCTGGTCCACAGTCAATAACATTAAGCACTCTGCGAACTTCATCCCGCAGAGGGTAAACCCCAGGCTTACGCACCATTTAAGTAATGGCCCCTCTGCAAAGAAATCCATCTGTTCAAGCCCTGAAAGAGCGCTTATTGCAGTTCTCATTGCCAATGCCTGGGTTAGCAAGAAGCTCACTTCATATTCTTCATTGTGTTCTAGTTTCATAGTGACAATTCCCAGAGGTCAAAGTCTAATGGAAAATGAATATGGGTTAAGCTGGTGCCCCTGAGACATGGGGATAAACTTAGAAAGAAAATCTTGTCCTGCTTTCCTGATGTTGCTGCATTGCATTTCCTGAGGTGCTTGCAAAATGATTAAGAGATGCTTTTTCTTTCAATTCTTTGCATGTATTAATATGGGAAGGCAAGATTCTGGAGAAAAGTTACAGAGCTAATTATGGGTTTTTAAGGATTTTACCATCTCACAGTCAACAAGCCTGTCAGGAATTTGTTACTGGAACTCTCTTCTCCCTGGAATAAAAGATCTTCTAGATTAGACATGCAAAAAGATGCATCTAGATTAATTGAAAAGGGATCCAACTGAATTGGCAGCAGCATAGCGCAGGGATTTGAGGAATCTCTGCTTACAGACTACCTTAATTCAGATAAAACAGTTTGCATAGCAAAGAAGAAAAATCTGTTCTCTTGGAAGCAGAAAGGAGCTTTCAACTTGTCGTAAAAAGGCTTCAAAATATTCTCTCTGTACCACCTTCTAGTTCGTGCCAGGAGGAATCCTGGCTTCTCCATCTGTTCTCCGACAACACAGAACACGAATGCTGACGGTCTCAGATTCATGTTCATTGCTGTTAGTCTTACAGGTAGCTTAAAAAAACAAGGCATATAACAAACACTTGAATCCTCAAATATTGAATCAGGACTGGCAAGCGCATTCAGCGGTAGGACTGGCAGAGTGCTAGCGATATCTTTATCTTCTTTTGCTTACTCAAAGTAAAATTCATCGTCCATGGAGGGGCAGCATAAGACCCATTCTGCACAGTTAAAAAAAAGTCTTCAGTGGCACTAATTACCCATCCCTTCTCCATAGAAAAGCAAATTATGTGAAAACCTAAGCAACTGAAAAACAAAGCTCCCTGGTCCTTCCTGGTATAAAATAGGTCAGGGCTGCTCAGACTGCAACGGCCTTCATTTCTCACCTAGGCCACCTTGAAAATGAAGCTCAGGGCTCTTTTTATCTCTTAAAAAGAGTCATATTTAATATACAGATGATAAGACATGCTTTTCCTACCTTTTCACAGACTGGGGCCGTGTTCCTTCTCAGAGTCCCGAGCCGTGTAAAGTGGACAATTCTGTTATCAGGAACGTTGTGGGTTTTGATTTGTTTAGTTCAAAGCTGCAGAGAGACTGTTTCATACTCAATAAATATTTCAGTTCGTTTCCCCAGATTGCAGACGCTTCCTCCTACTAAGCTATCATTCTGGCACTGCAGGTCAGTTTGCATCTATTCAAGACACATTGTACAAATCAGCATAATAATACAGACTGTAGCAATTCAGTCGGTAATGCAGATCTGTAGGAAACAGAACAAAATAGCCACTCCAATGTATGTCAAAACCTGCTGTGTGTATGGGCCCAGGTTCAGCAAGGTGCCTTGTACCCAATTTTAAGCTTGCAAGTACTTGCATAAAAGTCCGTGCGACTTCTCAGGTGTTAAACAGACATGTGTTTATGTACTTTAGTGAATCCAGAGCCTCCAGAAGGACTCTGGGTGGGAAAAGGGCAACTCTGTAGTGCAGGGGTTGTCAACTGGGGGTACTTGACACGGCCCTAGGGGGTTCGCACAGGCAGGCAGGGACAGGGCACCGCTCGCCTGGCCAGATGCAGGGGAACCTTGCACACAGCAGCTGCTGCCACTTTGCGTCCAGCCACTCATCCCCGTTCAGTGGCTAGCGGGGTACACTGCCTTGTGTCCAGCCACCGGGCGCTTGCAATGATGCAAAAAGGTTGAAAACCCCTGCTGTAGTGCATCAGCTTTTACATTTCCCCTTGCATCTCTATGGCTCTAAATCCACATCCAATAAGGGAGACAAGGACCAATGGATCAAGCACTTATCTTGTTCATGGGCGTGGACAGCACAAAAAGATCCATCCACTCAAGATATTTGGTGTCTAGGTCCCACTGAAACCAAGGGAAGCCTGGCACCAAATTTGTGGTTCTAGTCCAAAGGGTGAAGCCAAAAATGCTGAAGCTTTACCATGCAAGTAAACCCTAACCCTTTCCCTCTTCCACTAAGTTAGAGTCCTTCATGCCTACTTTCCTCAGCTCTATTCACGTGCAGCCGAGTGTGTTGGGGTAACTCAGCAAGGGGCTGGGAAGCAATGAAATTCAGTCTACTTTTACTTGAGCCCTCTTTCAGATATGGGGCGTCACCAACTTGGAGATGCTCATTGTACGTGGAGGTAAGGTGACTATTTGCCAGAGTTTGGCCTGAGGCTTCCAATACATTATGGCAGAAAGAACACAAAAATAGTTGTGCTTTGGATATGAATACCGTTGGTATTGCTGATTATATCACAGTATCTACTGTAACATTCCTGATAAATACATGGAATGACTAACTAAAGACTGCTGATTCTGAGACTGCTTCATTTACAACCTAGTACCAGTAGGTTTTTAATGTACTGACAGTAACATAGATGTCCACCACTATTCGGTCCAGGGGGTTGGGGGATCAAGCTCCTGGCACACACCGATAGATATTAATGAAGGCGCTCTGCTTTGGAGTGCTTTCATGTGAACCCTTATGTAATGAGGGTTCAGACTGTCATACAATTGGGCACTTTTAAAATGCAATGCAGCTGTGCCCTTCTGTAAGGGCACAGCTGTAGAGCGCTTTCAAGGGGCCGACTGCATGACAAATGTAACTTCTGTCCGCACCCTGTGAGCTTATTATCCTAGTATGTCTACACTGGACTGACAGTAGTGACCTGCGGGTGACAACGGACAATAAGCTGAATATGAGCCAGCAGTGTGTCCTTGTTGCCAAGAAGGCTAATGGCCGGGGCTGCATTGGTAGGAGCATTGCCAGCAGATGGAGGGCAGTGATTCTTCCCTTCTATTCAGCACGAGGGAGGCCACATCTGGAGTCCCGTGTCCAGCTGCGGGCCCCCACTACAGAAAGGATGTGGACACATTGGAGAGAGTCCAGCGGAAGGCAACGAAAATGGTTGTGGGGCTGGGGGACATGACTGGTGAGGAGAGGCTGAGGGAAACGGGCTGATTTAGTCTAGAGAAGAGAAGACGGAGGGGGATTGAATAGCAGCCTTCAGCTCCCCTGCAGGGGGTCCAGAGAGGATGGAGCTGGGCTGTTCTCAGTGGGGGGCAGACAACAGAACAAGGAGCAATGGGCTCAAGCTGCAGCAAGGGAGGTTGAGGTTGTATATTAGGAAAAACTCTCTCACTTGAAGGCTAATAAAGCACTGGGACAGGTTACCTACAGACGTGGTGGCATCTCCATCCTTGGAGGTTTTTAAGACCGGCTAGGCAAAGCCTTGGCTGGGATGATGCAGTTGGGGCTGGTCCTGCTTGGAGCAGGGGGTTGCACTAGATGTGACCTCCTGAGGTCCCTGCCAACCTGAATTTTCTGATTCTATGACTGCAGTGCAGCTCTGGTATCTCAACACCACCTTTAAATTAACTGGCCTGGGGTGCGAGTAGCAAACTAGCTGCAGCAGCTCAGAAGCAGGCTGCAACATGCCCACCCTCCCGTTTTGCTTGGTAGGTGGCAATTTTTTTTAAAGCAGGTTTCATGTTTCTCTGTCCACAGAACACCCAGTATGCTTGGGGATCACCATACTATAAAAACGAGACCATCCTGCAGGCGAGCTTTATAATTTTTTCCCCCCGCGCTTACAATTTTAGTGTTTACACAGTAAAGGTACCAGACTGCTGAAACAGCCTTGCTACCAAGACAAAAGAATTAGATGTTCATCATCAGAAGTAGAGGCCATTTTAATTACATCTGGTACATGCTCATTATCTTCCCAGTACATTAGAACACCATTACATTAGCCTATCTGCACTTGAAGCAGATGTGAGCACATCAGGGTGCTGGTGTATTTTATTCACTAGATGAGAGTGAGTTTGCACGCTCTGTCTCTCTTTTTTTTTTTTCAAGCTACAGTAATGAGAAAATGGTAAATATATCTGGGCTGGGGAACTAGGCTTTAAGGTCCTTAATGAGGTTTTACAAGTATTAATGAACTTCCAGAAATAAAACATCTTACCATTGACTAACACTTCTCATCTGTTGAATAATAAAAAAGCTCTCAGAGCTACATAAGCCTTTCTAGCATGCGTTATGGCATTTACTTGCATTTTCAGAAAAGAGCTGGAGTTGTGCACCAGTCAAGTCTGTTCTGATTCATATATGTGTATCTGTATCAACAAAGTCAACAGCAAATACCGAGCTAGAGACAGACTGCTATGACAAGTTAAGAGATGGCTCTCAAAAACTGATGCCTCTGTACGGACACAGGGCATTTTCATTTTTTGGGAAAAAAGGTCCGGCAGACATTAAAGCAAGCAATGAACAAGTAGCATGCATTGGTCTAGGACTCGGGCACTGATGGATCCTAATCCATTGCCACGTGCTTTGGCTCCAGCTCCCTTCTTTGATCCCCAGTCATTAATAGGGAACAGCAATATTTAGCCACCTTCCTGACAGGATGGCTGTGAAGCTTAATTAATGTTATAGTGAAGTGCTTTCAAGAGGGAAAGCGCTAAGTGCCAACCATTATTTCTCAGCCTCTCCCCGCCCCATCAGAGTTCTGCCTCCGTTAATCAATGGATTTGTAGTGGAACAGAAGCAGAATCCAGCTTTTAGTAACTGTGAATAAAATGTTCAGGGTGCCTAAGTGACTTAGAAGTCAAAGCACCACTTTTAAAAGCAACTTAGGCACCAAGTAGCCAAAGTGCCCAACATCCAGAACCACAAAGGTAGATATGGGTGCCTATACACATGCAGGGCAGGCATTTCCAAAGGCGTTGTAACTTTTGCACTTTACTTAGAGCACTTTAGGTACACTGCCTTAAAACTTCAGTGCGACTTTCCGGCCTTGCTACAGTTCTGCAGATGAGGAGACAAGGGGTGCAAAGGGACCGGGACTTCCCTGCTGTGATAGAAGCCGGACGCGAGGGGATCGCCTTCAGACCTCAGGTTGGGGAGGACCGGGTTAGAGAGCTTCTGGAGGGGCTGGACGCGTTCAAGTCAGCGGGTCCGGATGCTCTCCACCCCAGGGTGCTGAGGGAGCTGGCTGGGGTTATTGCAGGGCCCCTGGCACGGCTCTACGAGCGATCGTGGTGCTTGGGCCAGGTGCCAGACGATTGGAAGGTAGCTAATGTGGTCCCCATCTTCAAAAAAGGGAAAAGGGAGGACCCGGGCAATTATAGGCCCGTCAGTCTTACCTCAATCCTGGGGAAGCTCTTTGAGAAGATCATCAAGGAGCACATTTGTGATGGGCCGGCATCCGAGATGATGCTCAGGGGCAATCAGCATGGATTTATTAGGGGGAGATCATGTCAGACCAACCTGATTGCCTTTTATGATCAGGTCACAAAGGCCATGGACACAGGTGTCGCGGTGGATGTAGTCTTTCTGGACTTCAGCAAGGCCTTTGACACCGTCTCTCACCCCATCCTAATTAGTAAACTAGGCGACTGTGGCATCGATTCCTACACGGTCAGATGGATTGCAGATTGGCTGAAGGGTCGCACTCAGAGGGTGGTGGTGGATGGATCATATTCGACTTGGGGGGAGGTGGGTAGTGGAGTCCCTCAGGGCTCGGTCCTGGGCCCTGCGCTGTTCAATGTCTTCATCAGCGATCTTGATGTTGGGGTGGAGAGCAACCTGTTTAAATTCGCTGATGACACCAAAATTTGGGGGGAGGTGAGCACGCTAGCAGGGAGAGAGAGATTGCAGAAGGATCTGGATAGGTTACAGGGGTGGGCAGACAGGAACAGGATGCGTTTCAATACGGACAAGTGCAGGGTGCTGCACTTGGGTAGAAGGAACCAGCAGCACACTTATAAGATGGGGAGCTCCCTACTTGAGAGCACGGAGGCGGAAAGGGATCTTGGTGTCATTATTGACTCCAAGATGAACATGGGCCGACAATGCGAGGTCATGGTTGGCAGGGCTAACCGGACCTTGTCGTGCATCCACAGGTGCATCTCGAGTAGAGCCAGGGAGGTGATCCTCCCCCTCTATGCGACGCTGGTCAGGCCGCAGCTGGAGTATTGTGTCCAGTTCT